GTAATTTTTAGATGTATAAGAAACCTAATTTACAAAATACAACAATTATTTTTAGAACAGCCATGAACAAAGAACCATAGATCTAAAGGCACAAAATACCCAAAGCTAGAGAAAGAGGAAAAATATAGAAAATTACCAAGATCTTCCAAGAGCAGCTGTGGTCTGTGGTGATGGAGCAATCAGACAGAACAAAAAGCCTTAGTGGTGAAGAGGGGAAGAGAGACTATTGCCAAAGAGAGGAGTGAGCCAAGCCAGAGAGAAGAGTGGTCAAGAAAGGGGGAAAGAAGAGAAGGGTGAGTGAGGAGGAGAGAAGAACGATTCTGATAGGGAGAGAAAATTGAGAGAGAGATTGAGCAGAAGTCTGTTTTGAGCGTTTGTTTTCTGGGAGAACAAAAACATTTTTTTTCTATTTTGTAGAAGTAAACGTGAAGTCCAACTCATTTTATGAAAACGTTTTTGATGTTTTCTATTTTTATTTACCGAACATGTTTTTGCTCTGTTTCTGTTTTTTAAAAACAAAAACGGGCCTTTAAAACATAAACGAACAGGCCCTAAGTCTCTTGCTTGTCGAATTTTTCAATAGAATTAGAATGCAAGTAGCATATGTAAGGCTAAGATGGACTTTCTAGAAGCGTAAAACACCTCCCACATTGCCTTCACATGCTAATTTTGTCGAATTTTTAAAAAATAATTAGGTAATTGCGCTTAAATTGCAATAGATAATAAACTAAATAAGTTAAATCACAACAATTAAAACTACATAGAATAAAATGTTATATTGCCAAAAGCTACATAGACCAAACTTATAGTTTGGCACTTTTTTTTAATAACTTAGGTCTTGTTTGGTACCTTATTCAAAAAGCAAATTCAAAAACTATGATTCTTTTTAAAAATATGAGTTTTCAAATAGTGATTTTAAGATTTAAAAATTTGTTTGGTATTGAACTCCAAAATATTTTTAAGATCTAAAAAAATTGAAATTAAAATCAGAAATTAGAAACTCTAGATTCCTAAATTGAAATTAACAAAGGAAAAGGAGAGAGGGAGTTGAGAGAAAGAGACGGGAGAGGGAGGAGAGAGAAAAAAAAACTATAAAACCTCACTTTTTTGTTTTTAATAATGGGGTGGTTTTTGAGTTTTACTTGAGTTTGAATTTTTAAAAATAGGCCTACTTAAAAGAGTTTTTGTGGTTTTAAACTTTTAATATGTTTTTGAGTTTATAAAATTGGGTTATTCGTAGCAATGGTCCCTCAACTATACTCGAAGTTACATTTTGGCCACTCAACTCAAATATTAGTTGCAGAGGTCACTCAATTGGGTGTTGTGTTACACCATTAGTCCCTACTATCAATTTTGTGACTTTTTATGTTTAAAATAATGACGTGACAAGCATATCTTAGATTATTGATGGGCAAATGTGACTTTTCAGTTAGGATTATTTGTAGCAATGATCCCTCAACTATATCCGGAGTTACTTTTTGGTCATTCAACTCCAAAAAATAGTTATAGAGGTCACAATTAGGTGTTGTGTTGCACCATTAGTCCTCACCGTTAGAGAAACTTGACGGTAGGAACTAATGGTGCAACACAACACCCAATTGAGTGACTTCTGCAACTAATATTTGAGTTGAGTGACCAAAATGTAACTCCGAGTATAGTTGAAAGACCATTGCTACAAATGACCCTATGAAATTATATCCAATTAGGATACCAAACAACCCTTAACTTCTTAAAAAGTAAACACCAAATTTTATTACAAAGAGAATCTTACTTCTTTTTTTAAAAGTAGAAATTCTTACTTTCATGTTAATACAATTTACATATGTGTTGAACTATAATTTACAAAAAGGATGAATATCTACTTTCAAATAGTAACATTTGGTCAACACCCTTTTGCAAGACTGCAACTACCCAAGGCCATCCATTTAATGGGAAACGACCATCCATTCTAAATATCTTGAGAAAATAAATGCAAATTGTGATTTACAGACCAAAAATGTTACAAAATCCATTTATAGAGAACAACTTGTGTATCATCTCTCTAATAAGAGAAATCCTCATGTTATGGGGAAATCACTTTTTGCTATTCTCGACCAATAAAGCAATGACACATAGGATAACTTTTTCACGTATCATTGTTTTATTGGTCAGAATAGTAAAATAGTGCTATCCTAATTACATGTAAGTTTTTTTTGCTCTAATAGAGGTGATACTATTATATTGATGGGCTCTATCTCTATTAGAGTTTTGATACACAAGTTAGTCACTCTAGCAATGGACACATATCAAATGTTGAGAATGATGATGATAATACAAATTGGGGTAAAGTAATGAGCAAAAATACTCCCCTTATAGAAAGGATGAATATCTCCTTCCAACTATCTCCTTCCAACTAGTAACATCCAAATCAACACCCTTTTGCAAGACTGCAACGGCCACGGGCCATCCATTCAACGGGAAACGACCATCCATTCTAGATAAAAATAAATACAAATCGTGATTTACAGAAATAATGAAGTTCTCTTTCCAACTAACTAGTAACATCCGGTCAGCACCTTTCAACCCACTGAAGAACGAAATATTTAGTGAGAATTGTCGGGATCAACCCACTCACGTCAAAAATACAAGGAAAAAGGGCAAAAATAAAACTAAAACAAAACTCTACCAACTTTAAATCATACAAGGGTAAAATGGGAAATTTGAAAATTTTGACCTAGGGTGTAGTGAGCAAATAGTGAATATTCTAATAATTGTTCCGTTTTATTATTACTCTTTTCTTTCGGCCTAATTTGCTAAAAACTAATAGGGCTTCATATCATACGTCGCCGTTCGACTGACTTTGCCTCTGTTTACTCTTACTGTCCGAATTGTGCAGGAGCTCCCCAAAGCGATTCGAGAGCCGTTCGTCCAATTATTCCTAGGGTTTCTCTGAGCTCTCTCTCCCAAAGACTCTAAGGTATGAAAGCTCGGATCTTTTTCGTCTAATATGTTCAGCAGATCTAGCTTTTTTCTATTTTTGAACCCTTATTATTATTACTTGATTGTGCCCGTTTGCTTTAGGATGTAACTATTATGATCCCCACTTTGACTTCTTGTACTAACTTTTTGTGTGTAATTAAGCTTCATAATCATACACCTACTTGATCAAGTCAAAAATATATTCCTTTCTGAAATTTCCCATTGTGTTTTTTCGGTGTGGTGCATTTGCTTGTGTTTTTGTGTTGCTTAAGAGTTGGAGAGCTCACTAAGTGTTTGTATAAATGCCACTGACACAAGGTATTTACCTAATTGTCCTGTTATTGCATCTGGAAGGGCTTGAAAACTTTGAAGCTTGAAGAAATGAGGCCAATATTTTGCGGCAACTTGGATTTTGATGCACGGCAAGGGGATGTTGAGCGGCTTTTCAGGAGATATGGGAAAGTTGAGAGGGTGGATGTTAAGTCTGGTAAATAAGTTTTCTGATTAAATAACTTATTTTCTGCTGTGTTTTCATCATGGTCTGTTTTAGTTCTCGATCAAAAGTACTAGTTTCGTTGGCTATTGGTAGCATACTTGTAGTACTGGGTTGTTTGGTTTACTTCGAATTTTCTGTTGTGTTTGTTGGGTGTGCATTTGGCAGCCAAGATAAAAGCCTTAAAGCTTTTTCAAGCTGTTGTTTTTTGTGGTGAAATCTGAAGTGGGGCATGGCTGAATCTTCCTACTGGGATATGGTCTGTATGAATTAGTAGAGATTTGAGGTTTGGGCACCATATATTTATCTCTACGAGATGATACAGATTTGGGTAGATAAATAGAATACATATGGTTTAACAGCAATGGAGTAATTTAACAGGGGAATTCTGTCATCATGCAGATGTGTCAGCTGCTAACAAGGATTTTCTGCTGTGTCTGAAAATCTATTCCGACCTTATTTGTGAATGAAAAGAGTTTCCTCCTGTATTGAGACATAGTGGGGTTCCTGGATATGTTTTAGAAAGGAACATATGGTGTACAACCTGAAAAAGGTTCATTTCAAGATTTGGCTCATTGACCCTTTTTGTATATAAGCAAATACGTGCAGAAATATGAAGTCTGGTTGTATTCCTCGGCCTTTTTTCTCCTTTTCTTCACAACATATTGACATGTAGAAATCCCCTTTCTCCTGTAAATTGAAAATCTATGAGAGATGTCTTTAAGGAGAACTGTAGGGGTGGGAATGCAGTGGACAGTACATATCCTTCATTTTAAGAAACATGAGCTCTTTCTCTGGGCTGTTAGATTGGAGTAAATTCAACAGAGGGCATAATTACTAAGAAAATTAGCTGTTATTCAAAAGGGTCAATATGTTATTCCTTAACTTATTATTTAGATGGGTGTATGTAAACCTGCATACTCAAGAATTTCTTTGGCGCAGGGTTTACTTGGAATGTCCATGCTCTTCTTGGATGGGTCCGCTTATCTGCATTTCTTTTGTAGCATGTGCCCAGGCTTCACTTATTGTATTTTACCAGAAGAATTAAACTGATCTGCCCTAGTCCTGCCATCCTACTTTACCTCAGACACCATTGCTTTTTCATTCCTCATGAATTTTGCTCCGTGTTCAATTTCCGACATGTTCCAACATAGATTCCATGATGATATCGCAGCCACTGGCAGGTTTTGTGTTACTCTCTAGCAGATGATTTTGTATGCACATAATTTTATTAGTGTTTGAGAAGTCAACATTTCCTCATAGATTCTATGGTGATGTTTTTCTTATACTAAAAAAAACATGTATGCCTAATAAACTTGCATAAAATTGTTTTGGTGACTTTATTTTACGTGCTTTGGTTACTTACCACTCTGGTTTTAATAAGATTTATTCAATATTGGTTAAATAGGATTTGCTTTTGTCTATATGGATGATGAACGAGATGCTGAGTATGCCATTCGGAGACTTGACAGGACAGAATTTGGTAGGAAGGGACGCCGACTTCGTATTGAGTGGACCAAGGTAAAATCAATGATATGGTTGGGTTCCAACAAAATGATTTATCACTTTATGGTCTCTTTCATAGCATAGTTGCTGAGCATTTTGGCATCGCACAGAGCACGATCCTAAACATAAAAGTATAACACTGGATCCTGACTTTTCTGTCTGGCATGGAAATTTTGGCTTAATCTATTCCTTTACATAATTTTAATATTGTGATTGTGTTGGTTAAAACCATATTCCCTATACCTCCTTGCTATATTTTCTGAACTTTTGCATGCAAAGGGTACATATGTTTGTAACTGCTTCGTGATGCTCGACTCCCATCATTTATATAAGTTGGTATTACACAAGATCAAATGGATAAACAAAGTCACGGGATTTACTTGATTATTTTGTCAGAATTTGCACTCATTTAATCACATTTTATTCTGTATTGAAGCATGAAAGAGGGATTAGGAAACCTGTTGATTCAAGAAGACCTTCAGCGAACACGAAGCCCTCGAAAACCTTGTTTGTTATCAATTTTGATCCAATCCATACCAGGACAAGGGATCTGGAGAGGCACTTTGATCCATACGGAAAAATAGTGAACATAAGGATTAGAAGGAATTTTGCATTCATTCAATATGAATCACAGGAAGATGCTACCAAAGCATTGGAAGCAACAAATTCAAGGTTCTATTTTCCTCGATAACTTCTAGAATGATGTTTGCTTGATTTACAAATTCCAAGGTTTTTGCCTTTGGACAACCATATCAGCATATGATTGTTTGGAAGTGACTTCAAAGGGAGAATGGCTCTAACTTCTGTAGGAAATTCAGTTTTGATTGAGTGAAAAGCCATGTCATTTGTAGGCATTTCATTGCAGCAGCTTAGTCTAAACATTGTTTAAAAGAAATTTTTACCAAAAGAAGCTGGTATATGCGGTTGCAAAGAAAATGAAATGAGCTTCTTGGTATTGTCGTTAAAAAAAGTCTTATAAATTTATTCTTGAGATTTAAGTTTCTCTTTTGAATTAACGTTTTAAAAGAAGAGACAACTACTTTTAGATAATATTCTCAATGGTTTTATTTAGCAAAAGATATTCTGTATGAATCCATCTCAACAATTTGCAACTTGCTTCATATTAACTTTAATTAATTTCTTTTTGAGGTACAGCAAGTTCATGGACAGGGTTATTTCTGTGGAATATGCTGTTCGTGATGATGATGATAGAAGAAATGGACACAGTCCTGATAGAAGGGGCCGTGACATGTCTCCTGAAAGAAGAAGCAATGATCGTGGGCGATCTCCAAGTCCATACCGCAGAGATAGGGCTAGCCCTGATTATGGCCATGGCTCCCGTATAAGTTCTAGATCTGATCCAAGAAGAAGTCCTGATTATGAGAGAGCTGAAAGCCCAATCAATGATAGATCCCGTCCTAGTTCTAGACCTGAACCAAGGAGGAGTCCCAGTTATGAGAGGGCTGCTAGCCCAGTCAATGATAGATCCCGTCCAAGTTCTAGACGTGAACCAAGAAGAAGTCCCAGTTACGAGAGAGCTGCAAGCCCAGTCAATGATAGATCCCGTCCAAGTTCTAAACCTGAACCAAGAAGAAGTCCCAGTTATGAGAGAGCTGCAAGCCCAGTTAATGATAGATACCGCAGGTTTGAGCTTTTAGATCCCGAAATTATGATTTTTTTTTTTTGGGGTGTGGTGGGGGGTTGGTTTTGGGGTGTGTTGCAGTGCATTAATAAAATCACGTTCAACTATGTGTTTAATTGCTAGAGGGCACCAATAGTATTAATCTCTTTTAACATGATTGATTTCTGTTTGCATTTCCTTCTGATTTGTCAATGTTGTATTTATATGTGAATATATTACATATAGTAGCCCCATTTTGAGTAACCTTTTTATTGTTGATAATGCAGCCGTTCACCCCCACCGCGGGAAAGATCCCGTTCCTGAGAACCAGCAGGATGGAGCCTCGTTGTAGTGGTTAGCTGGTCTTCTCTTTCATTCGTAGTTGACAACTGAAGTTTGGTTATTCCTTTGTTGTTAGTATTCAGAGATATGATGAGTTTGAACTTTAAAATGTTTTCAAAGTGATAAATTCGGAAGTTTATTAAGTAGCCAATCATGATTTATGAGACTCTGTTTGATTTGTATTTGTTTTTTAGTATATTTTCTATAAATTTAAACTTGGAAGTTCTCAGTTGTACGGGAGCTAGTGAGGGTAAGGTCAATCTGTATCATTGTTATTTCGTAAGCCTGGTTTGGCATGAATGTTGGAGGTTGCACCTCAGTTTAAAAATACATCTATGTTTTTTCCTTGGAAAGAAGGCTCACTTTATAGATTTGGGAGGAGATAGAACAGTCTTTTTTGGTACTTTGCACAGGGTGTGATTCTTGGGTTTTGTATCCTGGAATTAGATGGGCTTAAATTTTTTGAAGTTTGAATTTGTACCATCTTCGGGCATAATTTAATAAACTTGCTAGTTGCTAGTTGTTTATACATAGGGTTTGGGGTATCAAATGACAGGCAATTTTCGACGTTTTTGAAGCTACCTAGGTCCAGCCTGAAACCACCACTCTTGGGTTTGGTATGTTTGGTATTTTATTCAAATTCTCTGTTGGATTCGAATGTTTATGCCTCATTTTACTCTCTTTTTACGTACAACATAATTTGAAATTAGCGTCTACCAGACCACTACTCTCTCATCTCAATGTTACTAAAGAGTTCTGCATTGACATGAGTCTATAACAGGAGGTGTAACTCAAAAGTAAAAAGATCCATCTTGAAAGTGGGTGGCGGTCGGTCGCTGATGTAAGTGGCTCTCACAATACTAACCGGTGTACAGCTCAACCAACCGCTTAGCGCCTTACAGCTAAGCCAACCTCTTAGACTTAGGCGACTGTTGTTATCATAACTCATATAAAGGCAAGCATTAGAAGCACCATCGTCAAACGCTGATATGGGAAGTCTAGTTGTAGTCCTATAGTGAGGAAATGGTGGAGAAAAGTGGAGCGCGAAAATGACGAGAACGTGTGAAGGAATCGGATACACAGCCGACAGGCGACATCGTCACGTCCCCGGCCACGCAAGGCCGAAGCCCAAGGCGTTTGTCTAGATCCACTCGCTCAAACTCTAATTTCAATTTAGGCTCCTCCTCTAATCAGTGGGCCCCATTTATGAATTCCCAAAAGCTAGGTGCTTTGCTTTGTTTCCTGCAGCCATTTTGAAATTGAAAGCCAGCCGACAAAAGAACAAGGACAGTTTACCACCTTAACCAACGACTAGTTGATTACTTTATTATCAGCAAAAGCAATTTACTACTTGATTAAATTAACTCAAATTCAGCAAAAATCCCAGCCACAACCGAAAAAGTCAGTGAGAAATAATACCATGGACTGTTTTTTTTCCCTTTTGAGCAATGATCAGCCCTCATAGTCAACTGGGTGCCATCATTTGGGATATGTCAATTGTAAAATGGTAAATTTGAAGTTGATGGGTTAAGTGTCCATTTGACAGTCCATCCGAAATGTCAATAAAAATAATTTTATTATTTTTTGAGCTGGTACCTATAATATTATTAAGAAAATAGAGAAAATTTTAGTGATGCCCCCTAGATTATAAACCTTGTTCCATTTTGCCTTTTGAACAATTCCTCTAATCTTTCAAATGTGCTACCTTTCGTCAAATTTGCTAATTCCTCTGTCAAACTCAAAGGCTTTTTTATTCATTCAAGTTAGGATTTGGTTTGACCCACTTAAACCCTAATTAACTTGGCCCATTCTTCCATTCAAACCTCGTTTTCATTTTTTTTAATGCCCATTAAAATTACAATTTGAAGGTATAATGGGCCGAGTCAATTAGGATTTAAGTGGGGTAAACTAAATCCCAACTTGAATGGACAAAAATACTCTTGAATTTCATGAAGGAACAACCTAAATTGAAATATTAAGGAGGCTCAAAACCAAATTGAAAGTTGAGAGGGGAAAGTAGAACATGGTCTATATATAGTTGAGGGGACATTGCTAAAAAACCGCCAAGAAAATATAATCCCCACACCCAAAAAAAAAAAAAAAAAAACTGAAAGACAACTACATACATAGACTATTTACAACAAAGTTTAGAATATAAAAATAACTATGGTAAATAAAATAAAATTAAAGAAACACATATCCTAATTCTCAAACCATCATGATTCACCATACATGAGTATACCATATGTTTTATAGTTTACTAAATTAATCTAGCTTTATTGTCAATTAAATTCTTCCTTTAAAATCCTTCCACCTAAATGAATTTGGAATTTGTTAAATAGTAACTTTTAAACCATTTGGAAGACTTATTTATGGTGAATCATGTAAATACTCATGTAATTTTTCTTCTTCTTATAATACAAACATAACAATTTAATGTTAGCCTAAATGACTTTGGACTAATCTTCTTGTCTTATGATGAATCGTGTAAAACTGGTGTATTTTTGCTTCTTTTTATAGTAAAAATACAACCATTTATGTCTATACCTCAGTGACTGAACCAATCTCCTTGTCTTGTCTATTCTTATTTTTCGTTGCATGTTTTTGGCATTGTGATCATTTTGATTCCTAACTTCCACTATGTTTTTGGCATATAATTATTTTGAATATTGATTTCTCATGTGTTTACTAGCGCATGGGGAATAAAATATCAAGTTAATTCAAAGATTAAAATTCATAATTCAATACATGAAAATCAGGAATTAGATTAATTAGAGAACAATTCATCTCATACCTATTCATTCTTTCCTTTATTCCAAACTTTCCCGATTCATGATTGAATTCCTAAAAGACACTAGCACCACTTTAGTTAGAAAATAGAATAGATTTGAAATATATTAGGTCATGGCAATTCATCCATTCATTTTCACTCCACGTCTATTTTTTTTCTTTTCTTGTAAATTAGAGTAGTTTAGACCATGTCTCGTTAAAAGAAATTTCAATTTGTAATAATGTTCGTAAATAAGCCTCGAGCTTGTGGGTTTATTTTTGCATATCATTAAGGGGTTTTTTTAAACCCCCGGATATATCAGTAATCTTAATGGAAAGAAGTTGAGATGATGCCACATCCATCTTCCACACCACATTCAAAAGATCTTCAACTTCTGTGAACCATATCAAAGGTTATATAGGTAACTTCACTAACATGTCATTTCCCAACGAACTATCCCTCTCACGGAAGTGACCATCTTGAAAACTCACAAGCCGTCCCCACCTCACACGTGGCTACAATTCCACGTAATCACATCGGTAACGTAACAATTCGAATAATTAAAAGAACATTCAAAATTTACACTATAGGCAACGGTCGGATTTTCTGTCCCACTCGTAGTCACAGCCGTCCGATACCGCATCATGTTCGACATTTAAAGCCTGTTGCCTGAAGGCTGAAGCACGAGCACACATTTCTCTCTCCACAATGCATAGTGAAAAGATACTTCCTTTTCTTAATTATTTTCTTCCATGTAGAGAGAGATGGACAGAGACATTTTGTCATTTTCATTTTGAGAGAGAGAAATTTGAATGTTAATGGGATTTTATACGTGTATATATTTCTCTTGTCTGGTTGTGTTAAAAAAAGCTCGAAAATTTGAAGTGGGTTCAGTTTGAAATTGAGCATCCTCAAGTTGTTGAAGATTCGTCTTCTATTTTTCAATCTGTGTCTGTTTTTTAATGGATTTCGACCGTTTCGTCCTGTTTCTCTAATAGCAAACAGAAATCGTTTCTGGGTAGTTTCTGAGTGAGAGAGAGAGAGAGAGAGATTAAGATCCAGCTGCTTCTTGATTGCTGATTTGGGCTGCAATTCGTAAAGAGAGGGGAAGAGGGTTTTAGAGAAAGGGAGGGGTTTGAAGGTCAATTTGATCTGGGTTGCTGACACTTGGTCACAGAAAAAACAGAGAGGTTTGAAGGGCAAGCTATAGTGGGTTGCTTTTTAAAGAAAAAAGAAGACACGTTTCTGTCTTTCTGAGTCTTAAAGGTTAGTTCTTGGGCTTGTTTTTTCATGCTTTCTTTAACCCCTCCACTTCAGAATGTAAAAAAGCTCATTTCTTTTTCATTTTCTCTGGATTTTGTGATAATCAGTTTTCACTGATACTTCATAGCTAGATATTTATCCCATAATTCAGTTCTGGGTATCATTGTTTCCCTTTTGTGCTTGCAGGAACAGAAGGGACTGATAGCGAGAGAGAGAAAGAGAAGGGGGCATTGTCTCATTGCTTGTGGCTGTCAATGGTGGAACCATTTGAATTTTTAAGAAAAGTCAAATCAACTTGAGGTATTGTTTCAGAATTTTTTCTTTGAATTTTCCTTGAAAATAATTTGTGGGGTTTGGTCCATCTTGCTGAAGTTAAACACACTCTAGTTATACAACTTGGGATAGAGACTGGAACCTTCTCTTCAAAGTAAAGTCTAACTTCCTCTCTCTCCACCCACCTAGCTTCATTTATGAGGAAAAATGGCAACAAAGCTAAGAATCCCTACTTTCCCAGTCTCTTTCCAAGAAATCTTGACCCTTGGATGTCGATCAAAATCAAGTTAGTGAAATCCAGTAAGCTAATATGATATCACAGTAACCATGGTCATGGTTGAAAAAGTAAATTTGTAACAAAAGAAACATGTGCCAACTACGGCTTCTTAATTGGACGGCACTGCTTAGCCTTTAAAAGCAACTTCCTTTATTGTCATCAACAATTTCATATTATAAAGTTCAATGATCATTATAAATCTTATTTTTTTCGGATTTTAATTTCGTTTGGGCATTTAATGATCACTTACCAACAGTAAGATGGACTCCTTGGGCATCTTTTAGGTATTTTCATATGGTTGGTCGGATATGGTTTTCAGCAAAGCAAGCTTGCTGTGATCATACAAGATTCTCGAAGCTCTTGATGTTGGCCCAATTGTTTTATTATAGCTGATATTATTTAATTGCAGCCCTGATACATAATTTATGTTTTTATGATTGCAACTGCTCCACTGCCTTTTTAGTTTTATATGCACATATCTTTACTTTGCATTTTCTTATCCGTTTAATCCTTATAGGGCTTTGTTTTCTTCAAATTTCAGGTGGTTGAGCTCTGGTCGCCAATTTGATCAATACCCATATTGAAATCATGGTGGAGAATGGTGGCAATGAGGTTTTGACTGGTACCCGGTCGGCTGAAGAATGGTTATCACATGCACGGGAGCTTGTTCCATTGGCACTGAATAAGGCAAGAGAGGTTAAGGGATTTCCAGGTCGGTGGAAGATGATCATTTCAAAGTTGGAGCAGATCCCGTCACGTTTATCAGACCTGTCTAGCCATCCATGCTTTTCCAAGAATGCTCTTTGTAAGGAGCAATTGCAATCAGTATCTAAGACACTGAAGGAGGTTATTGAATTGGCAGAGTTTTGTGTGGGGGAGAAATATGAAGGAAAACTTCGGATGCAGAGTAATCTTGATGCGTTGTCTGGGAAATTGGATTTGAATTTGCGAGATTGTGGGCTTTTGATCAAGACTGGGGTGCTTGGTGAGGCTACTTTGCCTTTAGCTATGGCTGGTTCTTCAACTGAACCTGAGGCTGCTGCTCATGGTAACATAAGGGAACTGCTTGCACGGCTTCAGATTGGGCACTTGGAGGCAAAACATAAAGCTCTTGACAGTCTTGTTGAGGGCATGAAAGAGGATGAAAAGAATGTATTGTCAGTTATGGGTCGTAGCAATATTGCTGCTTTAGTCCAATTGCTCACTGCAACATCTCCTCGTATCCGTGAGAAGACTGTAACTGTAATCTGCTCGCTTGCTGAATCTGGAAGTTGCGAAAATTGGCTTGTTTCTGAAGGGGTTTTGCCACCTCTAATAAGGCTTGTTGAGTCTGGCAGTGCAGTGGGTAAAGAGAAGGCTACAATTTCACTTCAAAGATTGTCAATGTCAGAAGAAGCAGCCCGTGCAATTGTTGGGCATGGTGGGGTTAGGCCACTGATTGAGATATGTCAGACTGGTGATTCTGTTTCTCAGGCTGCTTCTGCTAGCACTTTGAAGAACATATCAGCTGTCCCCGAAGTTCGGCAAACTCTAGCTGAGGAAGGGATTGTAAAAGTTATGATTAATCTCCTTGATTGTGGAATTTTATTGGGTTCCAAAGAATATGCGGCAGAGTGCTTGCAGAATCTCACTGCAAGCAATGACAATCTAAGGAGGTCTGTAATATCAGAAGGTGGAATTCGGAGCCTGTTGGCTTATCTTGCTGGTCCATTGCCACAAGAATCTGCAGTCGGGGCATTGAGGAATTTGGTTGGCTCAGTTTCTATGGAGGTTTTGGTTTCTCTTGGTTTCCTCCCATGCGTGGTTCACGTGCTTAAATCCGGTTCACTAGGTGCACAGCAGGCTGCTGCCTCCGCAATTTGCCGGGTTTGCAGCTCAACAGAGATGAAAAAACTGATTGGTGAAGCCGGGTGCATTCCTCTCCTTGTGAAGATGCTTGAAGCTAAATCAAACAGTGCCAGAGAGGTTGCTGCCCAGGCAATTTCAAGTTTGATGACCCTTTCACACAATTGCAGAGAAGTGAAAAGGGATGACAAATGTGTGCCAAATCTGGTCCAACTGCTTGATCCCAGTCCACAAAACACAGCAAAAAAGTACGCAGTTTGTTGCCTTGGATTGCTCTGCTCAAGCAAGAAATGTAAGAAGCTGATGGCCTCATATGGAGCAATTGGGTACCTCAAGAAGCTCACAGAGATGGACATTCCCGGAGCCAAGAAGCTACTTGAGAGATTGGAGAGAGGGAAGCTGAGAAGTTTCTTCACAAGAAAATAGAGGGAAGAAATGCAAATGTACCTCTTGTAAGTCCTTTTTTAAAAATCTCTTTCTGCATATGTAGTTGTTTCATGGTCTATATGAAACGTAGTTTATCGTATTGAACTGGAATGCGCAAGCCTGGTAATATATGTTATGTTGTCTATGTTCTATTATTTAAAGTAGAAAATTTTATGAAAACATAATCTCTACAAGTCTATTATGCTTTCCAAATTTGGAGCTTTCTGCCATTAATTTGTAAATGTTTCTGGGATGCCATAACAGCTCCTCCAGTTCTTGAAATTAATCAACTCCAAACAACCTAACAGCTAACTAATTATGATCTGATGTTATGTAGCGGATCAAATCAGATCAACGATAAGTTGAAAAGGTAATCAAATCAGATCAGGTCTATAAGATCAAAGCAGATCAGATCTTCAATTCCTTCAATCCAAATATCCAATGGATAATATGTACCGGATCTTTGCAGATCAACGATAAGTTGAAAAGGTGATCAAAGAATATCGAATTTGTGGTATAAAGAAAGAAAAACAATTTGACTGCCTTGGTCCAAGCAAGCAGGCATCGACTCTATAATTACGTCTATAACCCACCCTTCTTTTCCACCAACCGCCCTTCCTCCCTCCCTCCCTCCCTCCCTCTCTAAGAAAAGAAAAGAAACAGAGAGAGAAACAAAGGGTATTCATTTCATTTGAACCCTAAAAATCAAGAGAGAGTGTTGAATTTGAATTAGAGGAATATTAGAGATGATGAATCAAAGCAAACTAAATTAAATGTTACTAAACTAATTAATTAAGATTCTACGTACGAGATGATGAATCATCTGATGGATTCATCAATCCCTCCAAATATCTAATGCACTGATCTTCATCTTCATCTCAGTTTAAATTCAGTCGACCACACAGAGGTTCTGATACTCTTTGTCAGCTATGGCTGCTTCCATGAGATGGCGCCGGCCAATTTCCCCACCATTGTCCAAGAAGGACTTAATCAATGTGTCGGAGATGCCAGCCAACAGTGTCACCCCTGGATGAGGTTCTTCTATACGGGACATCCACCCCCCTAAGTCGTAAATCTGCCAAAGCAAAATGTGTGGCATCGCATCATCCCCATACCCTTGCTCCTTAAATTTGCTCCGCGTTTCCTCGTACAGTGTCTTCCAGGATGTGCTGCAGCCACCAAATCTTACGTGGTCTGTGAACACAAACACCTTCTTGATCATCTGCTCTGCCTTCAAGTTCTCATTCACAGCCACTTCCAGTATCAAATCACACACCTTCTGAAAATCAACACCCTGGTTGTGCTTGCTGATGCATGTCCTCATCATGAACTCGTACTTGGACTTGAGATCACCGCCTTGTAAGGAATGCAGCAGCGGCAGCTCATCGGGTAATGGACCGAGACTGATCACCTTTTGTTTCCATGCCGGCTCTTCAGTTAGTTCAGACACCAAAATTCCCAAGCTCGCCGCCAATTCTATGATTGGTACGCCCATGAAATCAGTGATGTTACAAACTGCCAAGCAGTTTTTATATTTGCCCGAACCCTACTTCCCCTGCTTTTGCTTTAGGTACATGTCCTCCACCATTGCCTTCCACTGAAGCTCCGCTGCTTCGCCGACATCCTTATCTTTTACATACCTTATGATATCATTTGGAAGCAAAGCATTCGGCTTTATGATGCTGCTGCCGCCTGCTTTCACCTCCTCCAAATACTTCTTAACCACACAGGGCTTCCGAATGAAATACACTCGTCTACGATGCTCGTCCAAGGGCTCCAAAAACTCCTTTCTAAGGAGTTCCCACTCTTCTGATTGATTCAACTCTGGCGGGAAAAGTCTACTCCCAAGGCTTTCAAACAGCAAAATGGCGCGTCTGGTGTGGTCGTCTTCGCTGTTGTTGGGAGTGCAACAGGCTGCAGCCCCGGCAACAAAAAGAGTAGTACAATCTTCTTTATCATCATCTTCGGATGGCGGTTTCAATTCCGATTCCATCCTTAGCCTGTGTTGCTTCAATTTGTCAATATCAGACTTCAACTGCCCCGCCAAGAGGTCCATAACGCGGTCATGTAATAACTTATAGCCCCGGTCACGGTGAAGCCTCTGCGCCGCAGTGTCTTGGCCTTGTTGTAGAAGAAGGCCGTAGAGAATCTTGACAAGGTCCCACAAACGAGCTAACAAGCCAGAGCTGGCAAAGGAGGGAACATTGCATAATAGCGTCTTGGGGTGATTGTGGTGGAGCCAAAATGCGGCCGTGTAGAAGGCCTCCGGATAATGTTTTCCGGTTTGAACAGAGGCAGAATTGAGATTAAAGATGAGTTTGAGGGTGGTTAGCAGATTGTGGGACCACGCCACAGGCAGCAGTTGCTTCAGATAGTTAATGGAGGCCTGCTTCTTCTGCAGCTTTTTCATGGTTTCTTCATAGGTTGGCTCTGGTGGTGTCACGTGGAAAAGCCAATCGGTGCTGCACCAGTCTGGCGACGTCACATGGAAATACAGATCATGACAGGGATCATCGTAGTTAGGAAAGGAGATGGAGGAGATGTTCTTGGCCATGGCCATGTCAGTGCTGGAGTTGGAAGCCATTAATCTTCGAGATATTGAAGTTGGAAGTGCAGGAGCAGGAGGAGCCAATACTTTGAGAAGCCTGGTGAAAGTTGAACATACTTGCAAAGACACCGGTTTCTTCATCTCTTAATTGCTCTGGTTCAAATTCAACACTCTCTCTGTGTTTGGCGTTAAATTTCCACACACAAAAAAGAAAAATAATTAAATAAAATTGATTGCATGCCAAAGAGAGATTTGGTGGCCATTAAGAGTAGATTGCAATCAAAATTAATTGATTGAAATCAAAGAAGACAAGTATCAAGAAAGGCTTGCAAGAAAAGAAAAAAGATGTGAAGGAATTAATTCTCTGTGCTCGTTTAATTTGCATGCAACTTTTATGTGACATGTATAATTCATTCTTTTTGTAAGTCGGAAGACAATCGTTTTAAAACCATAATTTTTAGTCGATCTGAAGCGTAGTTACCACCACATAGAGCAACACCTCAGACATAGATTTTGCTGAGAGCAACAGTCTCAATTATGAATTCATAATTATTGAATTTGTAACATAGAAACAAGAAAAAAGACCCAAAAAATAAAAAAAATTTGAAAACAGCTGCAACCAAATTGAAAGCGCAAACCAAATTAAACTAAATCTTACTAAAGTAACTAATTAAGATTATTCTACCTACGAGATGATGAATCATCTGGTCAAAGATCTTATTCATTGATCTCGCTTTAAGTTCAGTCGACTACTCTTTGTTAGAAATGGATTCTTCCATGAGATGGCACGGGCAAATTTCCCCACCATTGTCTAAGAAGGACTTAATCAATGCGTCGGAGAGGCCAGCCAACAGTGTCACCCCTGGATGAGGTTCTTGTGTACAGGGCCTCCATGTCCCTAAGTACATAAATCCCAAAGCAAAATGTGTGGCATTGCATCATCCCCGTACCCTTACTCCTTAAACTTGTTTTATGTTTCCTTATATAGACAAATTCAATCGATCATACGTTATACATACCCGTGAATCCTTTGTTGATCTATTGTGAATCTGAAAATTAAGAAGCACAAGAGACATATCGATGGTTCTCAACATTTTTAAAAACATGGAGAGAGATAGGAGCTGATAGCCCCCATATTTATTGGCAAACTAGGAGTCTTGTGTGTGCGATCGTAGGTTGTATTTTCATTGATGGATCTTCTCTTTTCTTCAAAACACCTACCTACTCTACCACTATATAGACTGTAGTCTATTGTCTATTTTAACAGTATGGGTCATTTTAAGGTCCCATTAGTGAGATTGGGCCAGGACTTACCTAGCTTTCAATTTGCTAATGGCATGTGCTAATTTATATAGCTGCATTTTTATTTTGACGCATCCATTCACATGGGCCTACAAGACTGTATTAACTTATTGATTAACCATAATTCTGCAATTTTACTTTTATGTCAACCATGGTATAGGGGAAATATTAGTAAGATAAAAACTATTATTGTTCCATAACGTGGTATTTTCTCACTTTAATTTCAACTAAAATGAATTTTGTTTGACAAGTTCAAAAAAGAAAGCACACTGCTTCGTTCTTACCTGGAAGAAAGTATTTTTACAAATCAAAGTTTGACACATATGCAAAAATAATTTATCAAAAACATAAAAAAAAGAATCTCAACACACATGTCAAACTGTGATTAGTAAGAAGGTAGAAGTTTCTACTTCCGAGGAAATAAGGCAAGTGATAAAGTAATACATTCACAAGACACCCAACAGCCCAAGGAAAAAGTGCAAACTACTCAAGACACCCAGCAACTATGCACTACACCTCATTTGAAGACTAAAGAGCCAGCTCACTCCATGCTAACGTTGAGAGGATATGGATGAATATAGCATATTCCATTTCTATATACTTATTCTAGAGACTTCTTGTATAGGATAAATATACACACATTATAAATGTACACAATATGTAAAGAGAAAGATTGAGACAACGAACATAATAAAAAATTCATATTCAAAATTCTAGCTGAGCAATCTTCTTCCTTTTTTTAAAAAACTTCAGTCCTTTCTTTTCTCCATAAATGAATATATCCCTTCTAGTGTAATTTCTCACAGCAAGTATTTTCCCAATAATAATAATAATAGATGGACTGGAAACCAAGTTTCGATCAATCTAGATACAGTAGACGGTAGACCCAAACTCAGACCGAGTACAAAAAAATTATCTATTCATTGGGATTGAGATAATTTATTTATTTTTATTGAGTCTGGATCTGGATCTATGTTGATCGACTGAAAGTTGGGTTCCAACCCTCCATTATTTTTCTTCCATTGGTTCCACTTCCTTCGTATCACTCACTGTTTTGTAAATGGTGTTTGTTTCGTGTTCCAGCGAAATTCTTTCATGGTGCCAAAATTAACAGCATCAATCTATCTCACAAAGGATAGCCTTTAGTTCATACAAGACACTGTATATGCAGTCCTTTTCCATGTTCTGCAGAGTATTTTAAATCGCCGAAAGCAATTAAATTTCTTTCTTTTCTGTTCTCCACCATCTCATTCTCACAGTTTTGCTAGCCTTATGCAAATCCTGTCAAACTATCTTAAACATTTTCTTATCAAAGTAATAAAATATTTTTATATCCATGTATACATTATAATCAGACAGAGATGTGCGAACTAAAGCCTAACTAAGTACAACCAATGACAACCACATTTATTATTAATACCAATAAGAAACCATGAATAAGCTAGCTAGGAATCTATCATTATGCCGAAACTAAGTAAATTAATATGGTGGCCAACTGCCAGATAAATAATTCCAAGATCCATTCAATTACTTAGTCAAGTTAATTGAGGACGGCAGTGGGATCGGTTGGATTTTCCCCCAACATCTCTATCAATATTCTGTATTCCAAATTAATAATTCCATGATTCATTCAATTACTAAATGAAGCAGATCATCACATTTGACGGACTCCTTCTTATGGTTTTGTCTTATATGAACATCTTGCTCTGTTTTAGCTTTTCAACTAATTATATGCATATGCTTCAGTGTGAATGCTTTCCTTTTGTTTCTCTATATATATGGAGAAGAACGGAGACAACCATATATCAATGTACTTTCAGTGTTTGCATGTGCAAGTGCTTTGGTTGTGCTCCATCTTCGCCATTATATTATATTCCATTTCATAAACCCTAAACAGTTGTGCCTATTCGACATATATTCCGTTGGCATTTGAATCTATTAACATGCAAGGCCGCGGAAGGTGCTTCAAACTCTTTCTTGCATTTGCTCTGCTTTTGCTACAGTACGCCCAAGGAGGAGAGATGGACCACAATAAGAGGGACACTAACGTGACCAGGAGGTGCATAGAGAGGGAAAGGCAAGCACTCCTTGCATTCAAACGTGGCCTGGTGGATAAGTCTGATTTCCTCTCTTCGTGGGGTTCAGAAGCACAAAAACAAGATTGTTGCAGATGGGTGGGAGTCTCTTGTAGCAACCAGACTGGCCATGTTCTTCAACTTGATCTTTCAGACGAAGTTCAAAGCGAATTTGACAAAGTTCAAGGTAAGATGATTAGTCCTAAACTGATTGAGTTGCACCATTTACAGCATTTGGCCCTTCCTCGGATTGATTTCAATGGGAGCCAATTTCCATATTTCATTGGTTCTCTAACCAATTTAAGATACCTTGATCTGTCTTGGACTCATTTTGGAGGTAAGTTTCCAAGTCAGGTCGGAAATCTTACGAACTTGGTGTATCTGGACTTAAGATATAACAGCTTTACAAACGTAGAAAATCTCGATTGGCTTCCTCGTCTCTCATCGTTAAGATATTTGGACTTGAGTGAAGCGAATCTCAGCAATGTTTTTGATTGGCCGGAAGTCGTTAATAAGCTTCCTGAACTAACAAACTTGACACTAAAGGAATGTGATCTTCCTTCTCCAATTCTTTCCACTCTTTCTTACATAAACTCTTCTAAATCTCTTGCTAGCGTTGACCTTTTTTACAACCGTTTGAATAATTCTTCAATATTCGTATGGTTGTCCAACTATAGTGCCAGCCTTGTTCATCTTGACCTCTATGGGAACCTTCTAGCCGGTTCAATTCCTGATGTTTTTGGAAACATGAGCTCTCTGGCACATCTTTATCTCTCTAATAACCAACTTGAAGGGTCATTACCTAATCTTACAAACCTTTCGTCTTTGGAAGACTTGTTTCTTCGTAACAATCAATTAAGCGGAGTAATTTCAGGAACTCATTTATCAAAACTCTCCAAACTACGGAATTTGGATTTATCTTCTAACTCGCTAGTTTTAGACATCCATGCTGATTGGATTCCTCCTTTCCAACTGCACTCCATAAATTTGGAGTCTTGCAAGATGGGTCCGCATTTCCCAAAGTGGCTTCAAACTCAAAAAAATATATCATACCTTCGTATTCCTAATGTCGGAATTTCCGACATCCTTCCAAGTTGGTTTTGGAGTTTATGTCTTACTGTGGAATATATGGATCTCGCACGCAACCAAATTAGAGGTGCATTTCCAAATTTGACATTGGAGTTTTCATATTCCCCAGAACAACATCTGAGTTCGAACAAGTTGGAAGGTACAATCCCCTCAGTTCTATTAAATGCCCCATATATGGATTTGAGTTCGAACATGTTAGAAGGTCCAATCCCCTCAGTTCTATTAAAAGCCTCATATCTGGATCTGAGTTCGAACAAGTTGGAAGGTCCAATCCCATCAGTTCTATCAAATGCCTCACATCTGGATCTGAGTTTGAACAAGTTGGAAGGTCTAATCCCCTCATTTCTATTAAATGCTCGACATCTGGATCTGAGTTCGAACAAGTTGGAAGGTCCAATCCCCTCAGCTCTATCAAAAGCCTTATATCTTGATTTGAGTTCGAACAAGTTGGAAGGTCCAATCCCCTCAGTTCTATCAAAAGCCTCACATCTGGATCTCTCTAATAATAAACTTTCAGGGTCAATTTCGTTCTTGTGTTCAAGTGCAGCTATTGGTTTATTCTTTCTTAACCTCTCAAGCAACAATGTTTCTGGACAAGTTCCAGATTGCTTGACACATTTGGAGAATCTAGTCATGCTTGATTTGAGTTACAATGTTTTGTCCGGGAAAATTCCTACAACAATAGGCTATGTATTTCGTATTGAAACACTCAAATTAAGAAGCAATAGATTTGTGGGACAATTGCCTTCGTCATTGAAGAATTGCACAAGTTTAGTCGTCATTGATGTTGGGCTTAATAAATTATCCGGACAAATACCTGAATGGTTAGGGGTTAGCTTAAAGTATTTGGTTATCCTGATGCTTTCGTCTAATCACTTCAATGGAAGCCTGCCCTCACAATTATGCCATCTAACACACATTCAAATTTTAGATTTCTCCATGAACATCATCTCTGGAAGCATACCCAAATGCCTCACCAATTTAACTACTCTGGCTCAAAAAGGAAATCCAAGTTTGAACATCTCACATTATTATGTAATTTCACATCGTCGTTGGGGAAAATTGTATAACGATGATGCAACCTTCATGTGGAAAGGAGGAATGCAGACATACAAAAGTACTTTGGGGCTTGTGAAGAGAATTGATCTGTCAAGCAATAAATTAACAGGGGAGATTCCAAGTGAAATCACTCAGCTTGTTGGGTTGGTTTCTTTAAACCTATCAAGAAACCAATTAATTGGTCAAATAACTCCAGAGATCGGAAACTTGCAGTCATTGGATTCTCTTGATGTGTCACGAAACCATATAAACGGAAGAATTCCAACAAGCCTTGCTCGGATAGATCGTCTTGGTTTCTTGGACTTGTCATATAACAACTTGTCTGGCAAAATTCCAGTCGGGACTCAGCTCCAAGGCTTTGATCCCTCTTTTTATGTTGGGAATCTTCAACTATGTGGACCTCCACTTAAAAAGATGTGTGCTGATGAAGTGGAAAAAGGTCCAAGAAAGCACACTGACTTCATCAACCAAGAGGACAAGGATGAGCTAATAACACTGGGATTCTACATTAGTATGGGGCTTGGATTTGTTGTTGGATTTTGGGGAGTTTGCGGCACCTTGATATTTTCAAGGTCATGGAGATACGCATACATGAAGTTCTTGAATGGTTTAAATGATTGGCTTTTTGTGAGGATAGCTTTGTTGAAGCGGCAATTGAAGGATGCTTAATTACTAAAGATCAACGGTAAGTAATCTCTCTTTCTCTCTCTCATTGTTTATTATTATCTTATTGACTTAATCAACATGCATGATTAATTTGGTTTTTCTAATTTTATATATATATATATATATATATTCATGCAAACTAACAGGTCTTTTTTTTTTTTTTTTGCGGTGGCATTTTATCTTTTTATCCAGCATCTTCGGAGACATGTCTTCCCTTCAATCAAAATGGTGCAAAGTTGCCATGGACAGTTGGAGTGTCTTAACTCCTTAATAAGAAGATTAGTGGGTGGGTTGGCCCGGAACTGTTTGTTTTGGTTTGTTGTCGTAATTATTCCCTGTTTTGTTTAGATGTTGTCGTTTCCTTTCTTTTGTAATATATGGGCGCCCTCTTTGTTTTGAGTATAATACTGAAGCTCCCAGTGTCACATCCCGGGATCGGCTCCGCCGTAGCACGATATTGTCAACTTTAGGCCCCCCCTCTCTGCCATCACGGTTTTGTTTCTAGGAACTCACGAGCAACTTCCCAGTAAGCTCATCCTGGGATTGCTCTAGCCCCAACTCGCTTAACTTCGGAGTTCCTATGACTTCGAAGCCAGTGAGCTCCCATAAGGCCTCGTGCTAGATGGAGGCGGGCATATACATATAAAACATATCACCCCCTCTCTATTGGTTGATGTGGGATGTTACACTCAGAGCATTACTTGGCATGTTAGTGGCCTTCGCCTTATTAATATGAAACTTATTGGTCAAGAATTGGTCCATTGCCAACGGAATCCAGTCTAGTGAAAATTCACTTTTCTTAGTATCGTTTGTACTAAAAAAAAGTAGAAAACCAATTTTTATTTTCAAAATTTGAGGATGCGTCTAATAGCTTAATCAGAAATAGTTTTAGAAAACAAAAACAATGAAACCATTTTTGTTAGGTTTAATAAACAAATTGTTCCAAAAATGATTGCCCAAATCAAGCACAGTAATATAGTTATAATGAAAGTGGATTTTTATAGCCGGAGAGCATGATAAATGCATGCCAGCAATTAATAATAAAATCCACATATTCTCAGTCCGCACATATGAAGGATTTTTTTATATTCCTTTTTTGGGTCAACTCAAATCTCATCACATATTTCATGCGGGAGAATAAGGCAAAAAAAACAAGACACGTCCAACTTCTTTTATTTATTTATTTTTATTTTTTTTGTCAAAAAAGACAAGTTGAACTAAGGGCTAGTTTGGCATTGTTGTGTTGTGAAAATAATCGCTGTCAGATTTGTTGTGAGAGAAAGCAGTTTGGCGTTTGGTAAAATTTTTGTTAAAAGTATTGTTGGTATTGATTTTATGCATAATCAAAAAATGATTGCCGCACAATTATTAAACTCAACGCCTCTTCGAAATTGATTTCTGCATAATCAAAAAATGAAAGCATCTCATTACCTGCTTTTCCCTAATAGCTTTCTCTCACATCAATTTTTAACAATAAGTAATTTTTTTATAGTTTACCAAATGGGTTGGGCTCCTCAAAATTTTTTAAAAATCACTTATCACCCAAAATAAGCAATGTCAAACTGGCACTAATTCAAAGAATTTACAATAAGTTATTTATGTTTATAACTGAAATTATTAATTAAATGAAGATAATATGATAATTCACACTTTTTAATATTAATTTTTTTAAAATTAAATAAGATAATGAGTCCTATTTTTATGAAACACAACAACCCATTATCTTTTTTAATTTTAAAATAAAAATATAAAAAAATAAAACCAATTAGCACACGCAAGGGACTGGTAATAATAAGTTATCAATGTTATCCTCTCATTTATTTTTGAAAAATTAAAATAAAATCCATCATACAGGTAATTATATTCAAGGGCTAACAACATTTTAACCTATGAAGGTTTGGGGTTATTCACATTCTTTTTTATCCTTCCCTTTCATCCTTCCTTTTACATACTATCAAATTTCCTACATTCTTTTCATCCTTCCTTTCACATGCTGACATGTGGATGTCACAAATGCTATCTGAAAATATTATGGTCTAAGTAGTATTTTAATTGAAGTAACCAATATATTTAAAGAATATACTAAAAATTCATAAAATATTAAGGGAGCTATGATTTATGGAGACGGTAAAACTATAATCCAACACTATTTTTAGAAAAATAAAATAAAATTGTGGATTAAGTTTTATGGATGTGTTATGTTTAGCCTTCAACTACTGGAGATGGCCTAAGTATAATTTTGTGCTCTAGAATCACTTTTTCTATATATTTATTAAAATTTATAACAAAAAAGGTATCTCCAATGTAAAGTATGAATAAGCATCGACATGAAAAACATGTAAGTTGGGTTATGTTTTGGGATTGAATCCAATCCGACCAATAATAACATCAATCTCATTGATTGGACGCTGGGCCTCTCCTTAAATTTGAGCTTTGGAGTTTTGGCCCGAATTCAAATCTGGGCTATTAATATAGACCCAAACAATTGGATTTGGAGTTAGTAGCCCAAATTCAGATTCACTCCTACCCAAACAAACGGCCTAAAAATTATTTAAATTCTCAAATTTTTTTCAGCAAAAAAATTAAAGACTTGCAACTAAACATAATCAAATAGAAATATTGTGCTCCCAACGACCAAGGGCGGAATTACAATGTGGGCTTTAGTAGTTGTTGAGGCCCAAAAATTCAAGGGGCTAAACTCAAATTAATTCTTGGCCAAACACAGATAAGAGGGTATAAAAAGGGTTTAATCGAAACAAAAGAGAATTTGTGGGACCCGCTAATACATGCTACCAGCCACGTGTCATGCCAAGCAAGCATATACAAAGGGGCCAAGAGTATGCCAACATTACAAGACCACTCTCATATATCTCTTCGATATTACTTGGCCCAATTATAAGCCTATCATGGCATAATAAAACTCAAGCACAAGCGTAGGCATCATGCGAAAAGAGCCACTATTCTAGCACTAAGCTATGTCACAAGCCTAAGTGGGCCCAAGCCACAAAATTAACCGGGGCTTACTGAGAAGGTTGTGGTATAGAAGGGAACAAGCGATCACAGGGCCCATTGAGGGTTCGAGGAACGCAAGTTTTAAGCCACTTAGGGGCATTGAAACTCAAGCCCGTTCCTAGAACCCAAATACATGGGTTAGCATGAGAGAGAGGAAAAACAATCCAAAACTTTAGGAAATCACCTAGTAGCCCAGCCCATATCAATAGATTGCTTAAAAGAATAAAACTGTTTCCAGCAGGCTGACGAAACTTATTGCACGCTGGAAGCAACAAGCTAAAAGACCCAATACCATGTGTACAAGCCCAGCCCAGCGACTTGCAAAAGTCTGGCGCTAAGTCTCATTCCAGTAAGAACTCCAAACTACGGTCACGAGGGAACCATGGCAGGATCAGAGGAAATCCACGGGGGTGAGAGGAGTGTCCATCGGATAAAAGGCTTAATCTCTCATCTTTTCCTTTGTAAGCTCTGTCTTGAAAAACCATAAGGAAAGCAGGTGGCGCCTTCCCCTCTATGGGAAGGTCCAGCTGCGTCAAACCATTGGAACCACAAAGGGTTTCTTACCCATGCTTCTTGGATGGAGAAATTCATCAAGGAGGATAAAGTGGAAAAGGGCAATGAAAAAGGAGAAAAAATTGAAACAAAATTAGGGTTCCTCGTGGCTATAAAAGGGGCCCCTTCTACCCAGAGAAGATCATCATCCAGAGCCTGACCAAGCTTTGTCAACCAGCCTAGAATTTACTCAAGCCACCCAATCTTTCTTCTTCGTTTGTTTTCTATTCTTCCTTTAGGACAGAAATCGTTCTAGTTCTTCTCTGTCTTACTTCAGATTTTCACTCCCAGTAGGAAATCCATGCTTCTCTCTCTCACTCAAATTACTAAACTTGTGAAAGCTTAGCTCCCATGCCACAAGCTGCTTAAGCTAAGCCATTGATTGATTTTATCATGCTTATTTGGCAATTGGTGAAGAGAACCTGAGGGTGTTCTTCTAAGGTTTATAAAATCTTCCAAAAACTCCTTCAGGAGCTTGGTTCCAGAACTGGGACACTTGGGGAATTTCTATGCGTTTTCTTCTTACAACAGCTCAAGCCCATTCGTCAGGCTGCTGGAACAAAAAGACTCCTACAGTAGTCCATTGATTTTTTAGTGGAAAAAAATAAAAAACATCAAACCTATATAAGTCAGTATCGTAATCTAAAAATAAGTAAAAATACACAATTTTATACATTGGCAACACCAATAGAATAGTTAGAGGTTTTTCACGTTTGTATATAGTGTCAAAGACTGTCTCAATACCAATAACCCGCAATAAGGGTAAAGTCCTTAGCTCTAACTCTCCAATTTTATTTTATTTGATTGATTTGTCTCCAAAAGAGAACCATTTTTCTAAATTAAACTTCCTTTCATGAATAATATGGCTCTAATTTCATTTTTTTTCTTGTGTTTATAACTAGCGTGATTTGTACTAATGTATACTTTTATTTATATAAAGCCTATAGAAATTGTAAGTAAAAAAAAAATTCATCATTGGATTTTAAGCTAATAACTTTAGCTAGCTCATCCGTTGATAAATTCCTAATTCCGCCCTTGGACAAATATCATATGCAACCACAGTAGAGACATGACATAGCTAATGCATTTGAAAATGAATAGAGGTGCGCAACCGAAACATATTAAATACCTCTGAATTTTTTTTTTAATAAATAGAAATGGCAACCTCTCATTGATTTATGAAAATTTGAAATAGAATCCAACCTATGTAAATTTGTAATTATGTTCAATCTTAATCATTGTTTGAATAATTATTACTATGCCGAGAGAAATACAATTTACAAATTAGACTAAAAAATAATAATATTACAAACTTATAATTACAAAAATTATAGACTAAAAAATAAATCCAAAACTAATTTAACTATTAGCAAAGTCTTCAACCAATATAAATTCAAAAGTCATCAAGTACCAATAACATAAAAATTGGATGCAAGGAGATCTATAATCAGAGCACAAAGCTCAAAAGATGCACAAGAATTCTTCCAAAACAGAGATAGAATTTGCACATCGTCATGCTTCCAGACACCTAATGCTAATGCAACCAGAGCACAAAGCTCAAAATATGGATTCCTCCATGGATCGGTAGACAGAGAGAAAAAACATGTCTAAATATATACGTTACATAAAAGAGAAAATCTATAGAAAATTTTACTTATCATAAGAACCATTATAATAATCAATACAAAGGAAAGTTGAGTTAGCATA